AATTCTCAACTGAGGAAACACAAATGGCCGAGAAGCACCTAAAGAAATGTTCAGCATCGTTAGTCATCAGAAAAATGCAAATCAAAACAACACTGAGATTCCACCTCACACCAGTCAGAATGGCTAAGATTAAAAACTCAGGTGATAGTAGATGCTGGCAAGGATGTGGAGAAAGAGGAACACTCCTCCATTGTTGTTGGTATTGTAAGACGGTGCAACCCCTCTGAAAATCAGTCTGGCGGTTCCTCAGAAAATTGGACATAGCATTACCTGAGGACCCAGCTATACCACTCCCGGGCATATATGCAGGAGATGCTCTAACATATAACATGGACATATGCTCCACTATGTTCATAGCAGCTTTATTTATAATAGTAAGAAGCTGGAAAGAACCCAGATGTCCTTCAACAGAGGAATGGATACAATATGGTACATTTACACAATGGAATATTAAAAACAATAAATTCGATAAATTCTTAGGTAAATGGATGGAACTAGAAAATATCATTTGAGTGAGGTAAGCCAATCACAAAAGAACACACATGGTATTCACTCACTGATTATTGGATTTTAGCCTAGAAGCTTGAAATACCCAAAATTCAACTCACAGACCACATAAAGCTCATAAAGAATGAAGACCAAGTGGGGGCGCTTCAGTCCTTCTTAGAAGGAGTAACAAAATACTCAACGGAGCAAATATGGAGACAAAGTGTGGGACAGAAACTGAAGGAGTGGCCGTCTGGAGACTGCTCCACCAGGGTATTCATCCCATGTGCAATCACCAAAGGTAGACGCTGATGTGGATGTCAGGAAGTGCATGTTGACAGGAGCCTGATATAGCTGTGTACTTAGAAATCTGCTAGAGTCTGACATATTCAGAGGCAGATGTTCACAGCTAACCATTGAACTGATCATGGGGTTCTCAATGGAGGAGTTAGAGTGAAGACTGAAGGAGTTGAAAGGGTTTGTGACCCCATGAGGAAAGGAGTAATACCAACCAACCAGACCCCCCAGGGTCTAAACCATCAGCTTGGGAGCACTTAAGGAGGGACCCATGGCTCCAGCTATATATGCAAGGGAGGATGTTCCTGTCAGGTATAGGTGGGAGAGGAGATCCTTGGTCCCATGAAGGCTGGATGCCATGTGTGGGGGAATTTGAGGGTGGGGAGGTGGGAGTGGGGGGGGTAGGTGGGGGCACATCCTCATAGAAGCAGGAGGAGGGGGGATGGGTAGGGGGTTCCTGGGTGGAGGGGGGAATGGGGTAAGAGGAGAACATCTGAAATGTAAATAAAGTATCCAATAAAAATAAAATAATTAAGTAATTAATTAACCAACTAATCAATCAGGTAGATGATACAAAACTCTGATATCAACCTCTGTTTTCCACATGCACATAAATACGTAAAGTTCATATGCCCATTCATAGGAACATGTGTATATACTAAATACAAACACAAAAATGTTCCAAGAGCAGATCCCCTGCCTGTTTTTTAAAAGGCACTACTGGGTTTGACTCTTAGAACTCAAAAGAAAAAGAGAAAGAAAGATAGATAGATAGAAAAGAAAAAGAGCTGGGTCTTGGTGGCACACACCTTTAATCCCAGCACTTGCTAAGCTGAGGCAGTCAGGTCTCTGTGAGTTTGAGGTCAACCTGGTCTAGAGAGCAAGTTCTAGGACTGCTAGGGCTACACACAGAGAAACTCTGTCTTAGAAAAATAAAACAAATTTTAAAAAAGAAAGAAAAGAAAAAGAAAAATGAAACAAACACACTGTTTCTTAGGGTCAGGAGAGTAGAAGGAGGAGGAGGAACGAGAAGGCAGAGCTGGGAAGGTCTTCACTAGATGGCAGCCACCAAGCTTAAAGCTACTACTTTAATGCCACAGTGGAGGGTCCATGTCATTGTCCAAGTGCCATACCCAAGGAATTTCTAACAGGGAATGAACTCTAATAGAGAGCAGGAACTTTGTAAGACAGTCTGTTATATCTGTTAGTGATAATAGGGAAAGCTGTGCATGTGCATGGGACATTTATGTACTTCCTCTTGACTTTGCTGTGAAAGGAAAACTACTTGTGAACATTTGAATAAGAGTGGTCCCCATAGGTGTGGGTATTTGAATGCTTAATCACCAGGGACTGTTATTATTCAAAAGGATTAGAAAGATGAGGAGGTGTGGTTATTGTAATAGGTGTGGCCTTATTGGAGGGAGTGTATGACTGAGGGTGGGCTTTAATGTTTCAAAAATCCAGACAAGGCCCAGTCTCTTGCCTTCTAAGTCTAATTCCCACCCTCACCCCCACACCCCTCTCTCTCTTTCTGCCTGTGGATCAGGATAATATCTCTCAGCTTCTGCTCCCGTACCATGTGTGCCACCATGCTCTTTACCATGATGTTAAATGGACTAAATCACAAACTCTAAGCAAGCCCCCAGTTAAATACTTTCTTTCATAAGAGTTGCCTTGGTCATAGTGTATCTTCACAGCAATAGGACAGTGACTAAGACAGAATTCTAAAGAGTGAAGTCTTCATAACAACTCAAGAGCTGTCTTGGTCAAACAAACCACTGGCTTGCCACCCACACAACACAGATGTGTATTTTTCTCATGAAACTTTGGATAGTGAACATTAAAAACATAAATGTGGTTATGTGAAGTGGCAGAGGTTAGGCCATACTCAACTTCTCCACCCTCCGTGCCCATTGCTGAGATGCAAAGAAACCCTTCTGGTATCCCAAAGTATAGTTTGAAAACCGCTGGGCTAAACCTTCTTTTCAAATGAACATAATGAGTGCTGTGAATTCAATAACAAAGACGATGACAGTAATTGACCCTGTGAGTAAATGTCACAAACTAGCTCTTGCTTAGACAGCACCTCGGGCAGAGTGACAGATCAATTGTCCCTGTCAGCAGGTATGAAAATCAGGGCAAGGCTTAACACTGTGGAGAGTAGAAGACTCTTCAGTATGCCGTGCTTTCTATACTGAAAGCACATCCCTCAAACTGACTTACAGCCATTCTCCCCTCGTTTCTTTTTTCCACTTGGACTTTTACACAACACCTTGCCAGCTGACTATTCTCTCTATTCTGTTCTAACTTAGGCACGGTATCATCTTAATGCATGCAGGGGTTACGTGGGAGGAGGGAGACATAGAACACTTCATTACTATTGCAAACATTTCCAATGCTGGTTTGTTTAAAGCCATTTCAGCTCCTACCAAGTAATTGCTCTGTGTGGGCACCAGCCTAATAAAGATGTTTTTCGCTCGTGGAACAGGTTAAGACATCTTGTGATACAAACTAGGACAGGATTGATTTTTTTCCTCTTTTAATTGATGGTTTTCTTATTAAAAAAAAAAAAAGCTGACAGCAGGCCAAGATCATTTTAGAATCTGTTTCATATGTAGAGTAAAGTTTTATGGTTCAGTTAAAAGATCCTGAAAAATGAGGTTTCTAATGGAAGTGTTGGCAGAGTTTCTACTTCTGGGCTGGGCTTTGAATATTATTAACCAAAGCAGGCCTGGGGTGGGAAACAGAACCAGAGGGTGGAGGAGAGAAATGAAGGGTAGCCACCTATACCAAGGATAACTGCTTCCTTGTTAGAGAACCTGGGTATAAGAAAGGAAAGCAATGCTGTTTGTTTTCCTGCCTTGGGGTCTGATTCCAATTTCTCAGAACATCAAAACAAAGGGAGAAAAACCCTAAACATCCTTACAAAGGCAGCAACAAGGGAGGTGGCAGGGATTGGGGATTTTCTCAGAAGGTGTCTGGGGTAGACTCTGTGGTGGTGTGTCCTGGAGAGACAAGGCCAACTGGAAGCACATGGCCATTGAAGAATTATCCATTTATTATCCCCTGCTCCCAGCTTACAGCTCTAAGTAACTTTTTGACAGCCTAGTGGCATATAGGAGAACACCTGGCTTGCTCAGAGTGGCCATTGTGGAAGGTTTGGGAAGCACCTGGTCATTCGACTCTTATGGATTTGTTGTTATTTCTCCTGAAAGGCTATTTCTGCAAAGCATTGGTGAGCCTGTGTCCAGAGCACACTAAGGGTATGGCAAGCTTGCTGCCATGTTTTCCTTCCTCTCCAGCACTGTACTGGGGTCCCATCATACCAGTGCAGGCCCTGGAGCCACTGTCATTGACTGAGTTCTATCAATGTGGTAAGGGAGCCTACATGCCCTTTCTACTTACACAGAATTGTGAGGCAGGAGTGGGGGAGGACTTTAGAGCAGCAGATCTCAACCCATGGGTCGAGATACCTTTGGAGGCTATAGGTTGCATATCAGATATCTACATTATGATTCATAACAGTAGCAAAATTATAGTTATGAGGTGGCAATGAAAATAATGTTATGTTGGGGGTCACCACAACATGAGGAACTGTATGAAAGGGTCACAGCATTCGGAAGGCTGAGAACCACTGGTGAAGAGTCTGAGGTACAAATCAGGCCAGTACGGTAACTTGACCACTGAGGTTGAGTAAGGACAAGATGGCAGACAGGTACAAAGGTTTTCAAACACACCTATGCTACCACAGCCAAAGCAAAACTTTCAAGGTCAGGTATAAAAACTACCTCTCTACTCGTGAGATATATGGAGGTGGGATCTAGGCTTCAAAGCTATTCACAGAACAGAACCTAGGGAACAAGTATAACCACAGAGAAAGGAATTCCAGTCCGGTCAATGGCCACAGCAGCAGCAATAGGCAGCTTCACAATGCCTTGGTCCCTTTAACAGCACTGTGAGACCTACTCTCTCTGCTCCTCCTGTCAGCCCAGGAGAACTCATTTCCTAAGAGTGCTTGTTTGTTTTAACTTGTCTGTGATCCGGTTTCCACTCCAGTTCTTGCTTCATTCAATGTAAACAATTTACACACTCAGTCATGGGTGAGAACGGAAAACACAGTTGACAAGCAGATTTCGTGTTTCTGGGAGATGATAGGATGCCAGCAACAGTGGGGACAAGATGGGAAGTAGCACAGAGGGAACTCAGGGGACACTTACCAGGGGAGGAGCCCACACCAGCTGCCCGGAATTGCCCCAGGATGAGGCTCTGCTCGCTCTCAGCCAGGGCCAGCAGGAGTTCATAGGCTTCTATGCACTGTTCACTGCAAGAGAAGCACAGCCTGGTATTAGCACTGGCCTGGAACAGTCATGATCCTTATCACTAGTGCCACTCCAGGGCCTGCCTCAGCCTCCACACCCACAAAGTGAAGAACATTCTATGCAGAAGTGCTCCTGGGACAAGCCAGTGACTTGCTGCTATGTTCACCTTTTTTTTTAAAAACAAAACAGTAGAAAACAAACAATATTCTAGAAAAATACACAAGAAGCAACAACAGAAGGAGGAGCAAACTGCTTGTCTTTTTGATGACAAGTCAAGAGAGACATGTGACACACGTATGGTACTCAGTCCACAGTAGCCCTATTGAGCCTGCATCCTGGTATTCATACTCTTCTACTGTCCCCTTGACTCAGTTAAGGTTGGTCTCTATAACTAATGGAAATGATGATGTGCGACACCCAACGGCAGGCTCTTAAAACACCATGACTTCCATTTTGATCATTCTCCACTTCCTGTTCTCTCTCAGGTCATCTTCTCTAAGGATACTGGGGTCCCCATCTTAAGCAGGCCTATGAAGAAACTTATGTAAGGAGGAACAAAGACTTCTAGCCTATAGCCAGGGAGGAACTGAGGCCACTGCAGAGACAGAATCTGCTTGGAAGGAAGACCTAGTGGTCCCAGGCAAACTTTCAGAAATAGTCCTAGCTGACACTGACTTTTAGAACTGCCTAGGAGCCCAGAGGCTTCATACAGCTAGCCAAGTCACTCACAGATGCCTGACCTTGGCATGCAACATTCAACAGTGATTAAAACTCCCCTTAAGGAGACAATCATTTTGAACTACATGTGTACTGTACAGTATATAATAGCTATATGTGGCTATTTCAAGTTAATTCAAATGGAAACCTCATGTCCTCCTTTGTGATGGCCACAGTACCCATGTGTAGTCATCACATGGCTGCCAGTAACCATGGTGCTGAGCACACTGAGAAAGAACAGCTCTATCCCCATAGAAAGGGCAAATAGGGATTCCTACAAAAGCCTCATGAAATGCTGTTAGGTTTCTAGTAAGAGTCTGAATTTGGGTGTCTGAGAGAAGGAAAAGTTATTCTTCTCTGTGCCTATCATCCATTGAGCATACAAGCTGGGCCCAGGAACAGGCTTTATGCTAGGCATGACAGGGCACACATCTCTCCCACATGTAGGGAACTAAGGCAAGAAGATCACAAGTCTGAGGCTGGCTTGGACTACATAGTAAAATGAGATTTATTCTCTCCTCTCTCTCTCTCTCCTCTCTCTCTCTCTCTCTCTCTCTCTCTCTCTCTCTCTCTCACGCACATATGCACATATATACACACACAGTCCCTTTCTGATACACACAGACCCATGTCCAGACCAGAGGCAAAAACACACCCCTGATGCTCATGTGCTCAGGACAAGAGGCCCCGCAGCAGTGAGATTTCCTTTGTGAGCAAATACTTGCTGAGTTTCTCCAAGCTGAACAAGAGAAATGCTCCTTTACTCATGGCAAATCTCTTGCTGACCATGTTGGTGACCTCGGGCACCACCAAGACCAACAAAACTTCGCCACAGATATGGGGAAGGACCCTCATACCCATAAAGGGAATGCCCCAGTCCCAGTTCCCTTATGGAGCCGAGGACTGATATGCCTGTCCAATACCACAGAAGGCACAGCTAACCGGCTACCACAAATATTAATGAAAAAAATAGATACCCTCACAAAGCCAGGCCCAATCATAAA